CACGTTCAATTCCACCCTTGGGTGACTGTCTCTATGGAGTTTGCACGTCTCCCCACGTCTGCGTGGGTTTCCTCCGGGTGCTCCGGTTTTCTCCCACAGTCCAAAGATGCGCAGGCGAGGTGGATTGGCCATGGTAAATTGCCCGTAGTGTTCAGGGATGTGTAGACTGGATTATAGGGGGATGGGTCTGGGTGGGATGCTCCAAGGGTCACTGTGGACTTGTTGGGCTGAAGGGTCTGTTTCCACACAAAGGATTCTATGATATTGGCCTCAAATCATTAAATCAAGCAGACTGAATTCATGAAATATATGAAATATAAAGTTGCATCCACTGAATTACAAATTCAGACATTGATTATTTTTATGAAGAATATGAAGGGTATACATAATGTGTAGGGTATGCATCTATGTGTAAACAAAGGGTGACAGGATACAAACCTCTATGGAATTATTTCGTTGGTAACGAGAGCAAGGCATGATCCTGAAGAAATTCACTTGCAAACTCATCTCATCATGCCATTATTTGGGAAGCTTGAATCATTCAATCCTGCTGACAACTGGGCCCATTATGTGGAAAGAATGCATTACTTTTTCTGGGCACATGACATTGCAGCAGACAAACAGCAATGAGTAATTCTCCTGACAGCTTGTGGGCCTGCAGCTTTTTCAGTTATCAGAAATCTAACTTTTCCTGAGGCACTAGATGCTCAAACCTTTCAAGAGTTAATGAATTTACTGAAGAAATACCACAACCTCAACTGTCCTCCAATTCTGAGATGCTCTCTGTTTTACTCAGCAATTCGAGAATCAAGGGAATCCTTATTGGGACTTTTGACTAGATTAAGACGACTAGCAGAGGCATACGACTTTGGATTAACTTTTAATGAAATGCCGAGACCCCATTTGGTCATGGGATTAATGATGCAGCCATGCAAAAGTCCCTACTAGCTGAAATGCAACCGTACTTCAAACAGGCACTACAACTGGCTTTATCATTGGAAAATGTGCCAAGTGGGGCATATGAGTTGCAGGGTATTCCGATGGAAGTGGATACCCTTGCTAGGCCGACTGAGCTTGGAGAACACCACTCAAGTGAAGGCAATTGCATTGCTACAGTCAGGACACATACTGAACAGAGGGACTCTAGGGGTCAGCCCACAGCAAAACTCCCAAGCAAAGCCAAACCAAACCTCAGCCAAACCTTCACTGCTGGATAAATACCCAATCCCTTGCATAGAGGATTTATATGCAAAGCTCTTTTTTTGGGGGGTCAGGTGTCCTTAAAGCTGGAAATCAGCCATGTGTACTTGCAATTGTAGTTAAATGAGGATTTCCAGAGATATGCTACAACTAATACCCATAAGGGTTTGCACCAATATACGAGACTGCCATTTGGGGTATCGTCAGCTTGTGCAATTTTTCAGTGGACAATGGAGAACATTGTACAAGGTCTACCCAGATCACCATATATCTAGATAACAGACCAATCTAGACCAATAAGGAGCACCTACAGAACTTTTCTCCCAGGCACATGTATGCTCAAAAAGGAAAAAAGTATGCTCCAGGCACCTCAAGAGACCTGCTTGGGCTAGGCTTTAGTCAACAAGACTGGATGATAAAGTGAGGATAATCAAAGGTACTCCATCTCCCATGCCTATACCAGAGCTTAGGTCTTTCCTTGGGATGGTGAATTATTATGGATGTCATACATAACCTGGTCTCTATCCTGCCACATTTAAATCAACTCGTGAAAAAAAGTGTCAGCCTTGGAAATAGTCGCATAGCCAATTCATAGCGCCTCAGGAAAGTGAAGAAACAGCTATTATTCTCTAAGGTATTGGCACACTGTGATTCCAAGCAAGATCTGGTATTAACATGCGATTCTTCCCCATATGGCATCAGAGTAGTATTAGTTCATAGATGGCTGAATTGAGAGGAATGCCCAATAGCTTATGCATCCTGGACTTTGGCTAGTACGAAGCGCAAGTACACCCAGAGAAGAAAGGTTTGGTGGTCATTTTGGAGTCAGAAAGTTCCACTAATACCTTTAGAAGTAAATTTGTAACAGTAATGGACCACAGAACTTTGCTAGGTCTACTTAAAGAGGACAAGGCAGTGCGGCTCAGTTTCAGGCTGAATTCAACAGTGGGCCCTAATACGAAGTTTGAACACCGTCCAGGAAGCCAAGTAGAAATGCAGGTGCAAACACAGCAACAATAAAGGATATTCTATTCTACTGAGCAACCTCCCATTGGCAGATACATTGCCCAGGGTACCGCCACTGCAAGAGCCCGGAACGGTTTTAAATTTTCTGGACACACGTCCAGTCACAGCTAACAATATCAGACTGTAGACATAAAGATCCGGTGCTGGCAAAACTAAAACAGCTGCTGGTAATAAGGAAAACCAAAGGGCCATCACAACCAGAACTGAAACCTTTTCAGATCCAGAGAGACCAGATCAGAGTAGAGTACGGCATAATATTATGCTGTACTCGAGTGATTATCCTGAACAAAGACTGCCACCAGATACTGGCTGAACTGCACAATCATCATCCAGGGGTCTCCAAAATGAAGATGTTATACCTGTGGCCGGGATTGGATGCAAACAGTGTTGGTGAGGCAGTGTCCAGAGTGCCACGAAGGACAAAAATAACTGTCAGCAGCTCCCACACATTCAAGTAAACCCTGGGCTCAGTCATAAGTCGACTACACAGGTTCTTTCACGAGACCTAATCTTAGTCATTGTAGCCACTCAAAGTGGTTGGCCATGCATAGAATTCATTCATCAAACACAGGGACAATGATTGAAAAACCGTGCACGTCATTTGCATAACACTGACTCCCGGAAGTACTGGTCAGAGATAATGGCCATCGTTTACTCGCAGGGAATTAGTGTCATTTCCTGAAATTGAAGCAACATCCCATCCAGCATCCAATGGTCCGGTAGAAAGAGCAGTCCAAACTTTGAAGCAAGGCTTAAAGAAACAGCCTATAGCTTCGCTGGATACCAAACTTTCCCCATTTCTATTTGATTATCAGACCATCCCTCATGGAACTACAGGGATAGCTCCAGCAAAGTTGCTAACAGGGAGAAGACTCCATGCCAGGTTAAATCTGAAATTCCCGGAATAGGGGTGGGAGTGTGTGAGAGGGAGTGAAATGGCATCAGGAATGCCAATGCTATTTGCATGACTCTGCTAAGTGAGGCAGACTGCTTATTTGAGGGGACATAGTTTGGTGTAGGAACCACAGGAATGGCCATGCATTGGTAAGGGGCATGGACAATGCAAGGACTCAAGTCCAGTGACGTATAAAGTTTAGGAAGATGCGATGGTCCTGAACAAGCATGTGGACCATATGTAAGGCACAAATTTGCAAACAGGGCAGGAGCAAAACAACTCAGGCTCTTCAGAACAGTCAGAAAGGCTGGCAGAACCAGTGGGCTCTCCCTCTCCATCAAGCACTGAAGAGACCTTGGAATCTTAGGTGAACATGGCAGATGTCGTCACCTTGATCCCTTTGTCACCTGAGGGGGGGGTGGTGGTGTTGGGAAGGGGTGCTGTAAATATAACAAGATCAGACAGGTGGGCCTCACAGAATGAGTTCCCCAATTGGACCACATTAACAGCTCATATCAGGGAGCCCTGGCTGACAGATAAGAACAGACATCTTGACACTAAGAGCTGGATCAGTGAGAAGGACTTTCCATGTATAAATAAAGCGTGAATTGATGATGGGATCCCAGCCTGTGGAGTTACTTCAGAACTACTCTAGCAATTCGCTTCTGTACCCTATCCAAGGTTTGTCTTCCTTCCAGAATTGGGAGCAGATCCCCAGCTACAGCCAAACTAGTAACTGATACTGTATTAACAAAATACTAAACAAAACAAACCAAAGAACCTGGAAATCAGGAGCAAAAACAGAAACTGCTAGAAAAAGACAGCAGGTCTGACAGATCTGTGGAGAGAAAGCAAAGTTAACATTTTGGGTCCAGTGACCCTTCTTCAGAATTGATTGCAGCTAGGTAACACATGATAAAGAAGGGGTGGGTGGGAGAAGGAGTTAATGATAGTTGGAAATGGAACCCAGAAAGAAAGAAAAACAGTTGGTCAGACAAAGGAATGGGTAAAAGTCAGCCTGGGAGAATTAATAGCTACTAATGGGAACCATTTGTGGTAGCAGCCCATGTGATGACAAGGCCTGGTGTATGGGATTGGGGTAAGGACACAGGAGAAAATGCTCCGGTCCTAAAATTATTAAACTCCATATGGAGTCCAGAAGGGTTCCAAAGTGGAAAATGAGGTGTCATTCGTCCAGCTTGTGCTGAGCTTCGAGAGAGAGAGAGACAGCGAGAATGTTCGCCAAGGAAATGGCAGACACTTGGTAGTTCAATACAAAAATATTGAACTAGCATGAGTCAGGGGGCGGGGATGATAACAAGAATAATGGCCAAAAGTAAAAGCAAAAAAAGGAACAAGGCATAGCTGTCAAGGTACTGTGTTTTTTGCCATAGGTTATGCAACTTCCATTACATAGATAAGCAGGGTCATAGTCACCATTCAGGCTATACAGAGACCTGCTTTGCTTTGGCTTTGCACTCTAAAGGCGAATGAATAGCTAAAAGATAGCTTAAATGCAATAATTATTGTAACAAACAATAGAATGAATTATAAATGCAATTACTAAAATTGAAATTAATGTTAAAATAATGAAAACTTGATTTTGGAAATATTGCTGCTGCAATATGTAGTTAAAATGATCAGACGGTTTTACATTCCAGATTTTATAACTGATAAACTAAAAGAAAAAGTCAAAGTCAATAATCAGCCTTAAATTTAACTCAATAAAAGCATTGACACTCGAAACGAAGATGAAAAATTGTTAAATCGATAATAGGAACGGGACCAAAAAATTCCCTCAGCAGAATTGCGAAAGACTGTTTAGAATAATTGATACTTACAATTTAATCAAATTTAAAAAAAAGTGGTTCGTCCTTACCTTGCCTGTTTTGTGGTCGAACCAGATGAGAGCATGGTTTCTGGAAAGCACTTTGCAATCGAAAGTGGCGTTATTTTGGGCTGGTCTGCAACGTGCCACTGATCGACCGATTTTGACAGGTTCGTCCAGGTAGACATGGCGCTCCTGAAAAGGGTGCGAATTTGGCCGACAGGTGAAGATGGCTAGTGCTGAAGGCATATGGGACTGGTGACGAGCCTCAGTCAAAGTCAAGAGAGGAAACTCGCCTTGATCCACTTCCTGATCCAGAGCGACAATGTCGTTTCAAAATATATTAGAAATGTAAAACAACCTGCTTTTATATATAAATGAGAATATTTACACACAACATCCGCAAGCTCTTTCTGTACAAAATGAGAGATTCATCTTTCATCCGCTAACACACCCATCTCAATAAATCAGAAACAACTCGACGCATCTTCTGTCCTTGCCTGAAGACCTGTCCGTTGAGATTAGTCCATTAGGTCGGTGTTTATATACCGTCATCTAGCTTTTACAACGGTAAAAAAAAATGAAGACTTATCAGTCTCACTTAAGGACACGCGCAGCTGACTGAAGATAAAATCGTCGGTGTGCAATCAGAATTAGTGCTTTTTTTTGCCCCTCTTAGCCCGACAAGGTTATCGCCGAATTTCAGTCGGACACGTTAAAAGCTGGTCTTACAGTAATAACTCGCACATCACAAGTCCTCCTGTGGGCAATGGGGGGCGGCCCTCGACAGTTAACTGCGGAAAAAAAGAAATGGAACCGCCACTTTATCTTCTCGAAAGCACGTCCTGTCAGAGCCAAAGGAAGCAGAGTTAACAACTAGGCCTCAGGCCTGACTGAATCCTGATCACCGAGTCCAAAGTCGTGAACTTATGACCCGAAATCAAAACAAATCCTTTCGATCAAAGGCCACGATCCAAGGAGCTCCCGATCCACAGCTGAAGGAACCCCCCCCACCACCACCCTCTTTAATAAAGAACTGATGCTGAAAGTAGACAAGCTCGCTCAACACCTGCGGCCGTTACTGTTGTAGGACGAAATAGGAACTATTCTTCGCCTGTGCTTTTGCCCTCCACCGAACCCAAGCTTGTAACACGTCCCCCACAAGCCACTGAAGCCGCCATAGCTTCACCGCATAGGCAATAACTTGACAGCGGAAGCACCGGCCGCCGCTAATTGACAAGCAATATAACCAATAGCGGCCAGACGGTCGGCCAAGGACAGCCAATTGAGGTGTGCGCTGGGCGGGCAGCTGAGACAACCGGTGGGTGTGTTGGGCGGTTGATTGACGTGGAGAATGAACCAAACATAAACAGGTCGGAAACGTGAGCCGGCTAGATTTAGCCAAACAGGAGAAACAGGCGGAACAGCGACCCGATCCAACCAAACGTACCGAGTAAATCGGCCGGGAAAATCGGAATAATCGCGGCAAGTTTACCGAGATTCAAGTGCATGTTATCACCGTCATTAATTCTTTCACTGTTGTTAATTAAATTCACTTTTATGTATCACCATCTCTTCATCATGTGTGTCACAAATCTGATAAAGGATGAAATCTCTTCAAACATTGGCAGTTGGGGAAACCTCAGCTCCGTCAAGCAAATCTAGGGCGTTTGGCTGACGTAACACGCAGCCGGTCTACATCATCACGTCACCGCCAACGGCGAGTTAACGTCGTCCCCTCGGTCTGGGCAGTGTTGAGAGGAAAATATGGCTTTTCAAGCTCTGACAGGTGACTGTGATGACCTGGACGCGCTGTTACAGAGGTTCATTCCCGACAAGGATTACCTGTGTAGTCCTGACAGGTCACCATCACTGCCATGGGACAGGTTCGCTGCCTGGGTTCACTGTATCTGCGTGGTCGGGTTCGACCTGGAGCTGGGGCAGGCTGTCGAAGTGAGTTTATGTAAATCCCAGAAATTGTAAATATATATGTGTTTTTACGAGAAGAAAGAGGAAATTATTTGCAGTAGGAAGTTGGTGTTAGTCGTTGGCGATCAATGGGAATTGCCTTTTTAACTTTTGCTTTTGTTTCGATGCGAAGACCGCCGTGTGTCTTGCGACGGAGCCGACGCTGTTCTTTGTGCCACCAAAAGTCAAGGCCATTTCTAAAATAATGCAACTAATTGTGTGTATTTACAATCTTAAATGTTTTTAAGTCTTTTTTTTGGCTGTGTGAATCCATAGTGCAACGTTTGTAGATGTGTATCTATCGGAGCGGTTAATTTCGAAACAATTTTAATAAGAAGCGAAACGTATACCCGATGCCAATTTTCTCAGAAGCAATATCAAAAAGAGCTTCTGTTTGGTTTAATTAGCCGCTGTGCATAACAATTCTTCTTAAACCAAGATATTTGAGATGGCTGCGTTGAAGTGCATAACTTTTAAATTTGATAAGTAGAATCTGTAAAATCTAATCAACGGAGAATTGCTAATTCCAAAAGCACATTGATTCGAATCTGGAACAATACAATAGCGCACAAGGCATCAAGGTTTGAAATGTTAAGCCACTTTGTTTTCTTTAATATTAACATACTGAAGAATATTGAGAGCTTTTATTTTGTGACTGTTTGGACAAAAAAAATCAATTTCGAGTTAAGTCTATTGAGTTTTTTTTAAAGACCTTATTACATTCTATGATCTGAGAATAATTCGATGTATTACTCCAACACATTGTAGCCAATAACGTTAGTGTCATCATGTGCTCTGTTTTTCTATTTGAGAAGTCCAAACGAAGCATAGCTTCAAGTTCTCTGCATCTGCTATATTTTGAATCATTACGCAACATCCGTGATCAACAGACTGAAGAAGCCTTTTTTTAAAAGAAATCAGTTGAAGACAGTGTCTAAAGAATTGCAATATTACTAAAATGCACTACTAACAAAAAGCAAGATAAGATTTTTCAATTGAAATGACACGTTAACAACTCTTGGTAGTTTTCACATGTTAATTGTATTTTTAGAAAATATAATTTTAATACTAATAATATTTTTAAAATGCTATTTAAAATGACAAGCTATTTTAATTGCCATCATTTGCATTTATTGTGCAAGCTGTAAATGAGTCCTTAAATGAGTATTGGATAGACTGTATTCCCTAAATTCAAGAGGGCACCATGATGCCCAAAGATACTCAGGGCTGGGAGTGGAACTTGGAGAAGCATTTGCCATAATATTTCAGTTTTCTTTAGGCACGTGTGGTGCCAGAGGCCTTGAGAACTGCAAACATTACGAATGTTCAAAAATGATGTGAAGACAAGCCAAGCAACTATAGGTCATTTTGCTGTACTTTGGATGGCTGTTTTGTGATGCAGAATGATGGCTACAGAATGGGTTCAGTTTCACCATAATGGTGGCAAATTCTCGATCTTGAATCTGGCCTGAGGTGGGGGTGACTCTTGGGTTAAACCAACCACCAGCCTCTCTTTCTAATGAGACAGCAGTGTATGGTGCTGTGGGACTATGGCAACTTTCAATTTGATGGGGAAGCCTGTAGAAAGAATAATTGAGGGAACAACCTTTTATAGAGGATAACAAAATCATGAGGGGCATGGGTAGAGTGAATAGCGAAGGTCTTTCTCCTAGGGTGCTGGAGTCCAAACCTGGACGACGCAGGTTTAAGGTGAGAAGGGGAAAGATTTAAAAAGGACCTGAGGGGTAAGTTTTCCATGCAGAGGGTGGAATGAGCTGCCGGAGGCAGGTACTATTACAACATTTAAAAGGCATCTGGATGGGTATATAAATAGGAAGAGTTTAGAGGGATATGGGCCAAATGCTAGCAATTGGGACTAGGTCAAATTGGGATGTCTGATCCGCGTGAATAACTTGGACCGAAGGGTCTGTTTCCCTGCTGTATGACTCTAAGTGACTTTACATGGGCAAATATATTGTATAAATATATTTAATGTGAATTTCTTGAGGTAAAATCCTGTTTAACCAACTTGTTAGATGCTTTCAAGATGTAAGAGAGTTGATGATGGCAAGGCTATTACTGTGTTCTACATGGACTTCGAAAGGCTTTTGGTATAGTGCTGTGCAACAGAGTTCTAACCCAAGTTATAGCTCATGGAATAAATTAGAAACCAGTAACATGGATAAGATATTGGCTGAGTAACAACAAACCAAGAGAAAGATCATAAGACATAGGATTGGAAGTAAGCCATCAAGTCTGTTCTGCCATACAACAAGGCCATGGCTAATTTGATAATCCTCAACTCTCCTTCCATGCCCCCATAACCCATGATTTCCCTCGATGATTAGAAATCTGTCTACCTCAGCCTTGAATTTACTTGATGGCGCAGCCTTGACAGCTTTTTTATGATAAAGAATTCTACAGATTCACTACCCGCACAATTGTTTCTGGTGCAAGTTTCTTCGTCTCAAAATGAATGTTAGATTTAATAATGCTATGGTCATGTTCCCTGACAAATTGTGAAGTGGGGCAGTGTTAATTAGTGGATGTTTTTCAGGTTGGTTAGAAGGTTTGTATGGAGATCCTTGGCAGTCTATGTTGGGACCTTTGCATTTCCTGGCATAATAACCTAGACTTTGGTTTATTGTGCATACTTTTAAAGTTTGTGAATGATATAAAACTTTGAAACAATATTACCTGCGAGGACGATAGATAAGAGTTGGAATTGGTCTGGTCCTCCATTTGATCATGGCTGTTATTTTTCTCAACCCCATTCTCCTGCCGTCCTTCCATAACCCTTAATCCTTTTACTAATCAAGAAGTTGTCTATTTCTGTCTCAAAGACTCTAAGTGACTAGGCCTGCACAGCCTTCTGTGGCAATGAGTTCCACAGATGAGGACAATATAGAACTTCAGAAAGACAGACAGATGGTGTTGCAAGCAAGTGGTAGATGAAGTTCAATGCAGTGATATTTGAAAGAGGCATTTTGGTAGGAATATCATGGCGAGATAGTATAAACTAAGGGATACAGTGCTAAAGCAGGTGCCTAGGTGTATATGTGCATAAATTATTAAAAATGACGGGATGGATTGAGAGTGTAACTAATACGGTATGCTATGTCCTGTGCTTTATTGATTGGAGTGCAGAACATAAGCACAAGGAGGTTTTGTTGAACTTGCATAGGGCACTAATTTGTCATCAAATTAGTGCATTTAGTTCTGGGTGTGGCAATTTAGAAAAATAAATGCCTTCATGTCCTATCTGAAATGTGAGGGAGGTCATGACATTCAAATTATTCACTCTGAAATTCCAAACTAGTGTATTTGAACTGAAACTACAGAAATTTTCAACCATTTTTGAAAAAATACAGTGAATTTTTATTATGAATGATATTGCATGATGGCTATTAAACATCCCAGTCCCACAATAAGGTATAATATAGTAATTATTTCTCAGTTTGCAATATATGTCTTCTACGCTGTAATGGCTCTGAATGTCTGAGAATACTTCAATGCGCTTAAACAGATATATTTTTGAAAATTCATTCCTGGGATGTGAGCGTCCTTGTTTTGGGCCAACATTTATTGCCCATCCCTAGGTGCCCTGGAGAAGCTGATAGTGAGCTACATTCTTGGACTGCTGCAGCCCATTTCGTGCAGGAAGATCTAGAATGCCATTTGGTGTGAATTCCTGTATTTTGACCAGCAACACTTGAAGGAACATCCATATGATTCCAAAATAGTATGGTGAGTTTGAAATATATCACCATACCTTAAGTGTTATTGGGATAAAGTCCTGGAACTCCCTCCTTAATGGCATTGTGCCCAAATACTGGCCTACCAATACTGTAAGCCCCCTGCTGTAAACAGCTGACTGCAGTTTTTATTGGCTAATAAATATATAGCATAATGTAAATGCTATCAGAAATGTTCTGGACAGCTGTAAGCATAATGAACAGTAGGTGCTGTTAATTCACTACTAACTACAGAAGCCATAACTTAACACATTCTATCTGCTATTAGAAGCAAAACTTATGTTGTGGAGCCAGGCTACATAACAGTATTTACTGTACAGTGCACTGCCATGTAGCCTTCCTTTCGGATACGTTATAATAAGGTAAAGTATTTCATAGTGGGAAAGGTGACAGCCGAGTGGTATAATCCCTGGACTGTTAATCCAGAGACCCAAGTATGCTCTGTGGACCTGGGTTTGAATCCTGCTTTGGCAGATGGTTGAATTCAATACAAAATATAGAATTAAG